TATTATTAATTATGCTCATTTGTCAACAAATTTTGCTGAAACGTTGGTTTTAGTTGTTATTCAGTCATTCTTTAAAACCTTGCATTATAGGGATTTGGACCTGTAAATTGTCATTTATATTTAACAATTGAAAATGTTCATCGTGCATTTTTAGTATCATTACCGTCAAAATAATTATATGCTTAACAATTGAATCTGTATGTCTTCATGTCAGGAAGTTGGAACTATATATACACATCATCAGAAAACTGTAATTGTGGATGCTGATGCTGGAAACAACAGAAGAAAAATTGTAGCGTTTGTTGGTGGACTTGATTTATGTGATGGCCGATATGATACTCCTCACCATCCTCTCTTTAAGACATTACAAACAATACATAAGGATGACTATCACAACCCAACGTACACGGTAATCTATGATTTCAGACTCCACTTTGTAGCATGATGAAGACTAATTATAGTTATCTATCAATCATCTGATAAACATGGGATTAATGGAAGAACTTGTGAAAAAATAGAAACAAAATGAATGAATTGAGGTTTTATTTCATGACAGGGTAACACTGGTGGTTGTCCAAGGGAGCCATGGCATGATTTGCATACTAAAATTGATGGTCCGGCAGCTTATGATGTCTTAACTAACTTTGAGGAGCGCTGGTTAAAAGCCTCAAAACCACAAGGGATAAAGAAGTTGAAAATTTCATATGATGACGCTTTACTTAGACTGGAAAGAATTCCCGACGTTATTGGCATTAACGACACTCCTAGTGGTGACGATGATCCTGAATCATGGCATGTTCAGGTAATTACCTATTTCATACATAATAGATGTTTTGATTTTCTAGAAGTAATTATTATTTAATATATTTTCTAGAAGTAATTATTTCCTCTTTTTCTCAAAAATGAAATTATTGCTTCTATTTACTTTGGAATATTAGATATTTCGTTCAATTGATTCAAATTCAGTTAAGGGATTTCCAAAAGACCCAAGAGAGGCAACTGGCAAGGTAAACAAAAGCTTTTTGTTTCGGTTTTTATTTTTCATGTTTAATTTCAATTCACCAAACATCAATCAAATTGTGTATGAGAAGGTAAATTACTATTGCATATTTACAGAACCTTGTATGTGGGAAGAATGCGCTGATTGACATGAGCATACATACAGCATACGTGAAGGCTATTCGTGCTGCACAGCATTACATTTATATCGAGAATCAATATTTCATTGGGTCTTCTTACAATTGGAGTCAACATAAAGACCTTGGTATGATATTCCTCTTTTGCATACAAAAGCTGCTTATATTTTCACTAATTGCATTTGGTGCTATACTAACGTTTTGTAAAAATATGAGTTTTGGTATGGATAAATAGTCCAGTATGGTTAATTTATGCTAAATTTTGTTATGGCAGGTGCTAATAATTTAATTCCGATGGAAATTGCTCTAAAGATAGCAGAAAAGATTAGAGCAAATGAGAGGTTTGCCGTTTATATAGTTATTCCAATGTGGCCTGAAGGTGTTCCAACAGGTAATGCCACGCAAAGGATTCTATTCTGGCAGGTATGGTTCAAATTGAAATCCCAATATGAATGTCAAAATCTTGGTCAGGATTATGCATATGTTAACCTGGAATTATTTTTAAAATTTTTGCAGAATAAAACAATGCAAATGATGTATGAAACAATTTACAAGGCTTTAGTTGAGGTTGGGCTTGAAGCAGCATTCTCTCCACAAGACTATTTGAACTTTTTCTGTCTTGGTAATCGAGAGGTCATAAATATGTACGAAAATGTCAATGTATCAGGAAATCCTCCCCCAGCAAATAGTCCACAAGTATGTCACTAACACCTAAGCAAAAATTCCTGACACTCTTCATGAAATCATGATTTTGTTTTGACAGTTTCTCAATCCGCCCCCATATATGCCCAAATATGGAAAAACACAGACGTGTGCTTCCGGTAAACACCCCATATTTTAGGGGTGCGGACTGATAAACTGTCTACTATTGAGTGAATCAACTAGTAATTGTTTTGTATGGTGGTGCTTTCTTTCCAGGCAAATAGTCGAAATAGCCGACGTTTCATGATTTATGTTCATTCAAAAGGCATGATAGTTGATGATGAATATGTGATTGTGGGATCTGCGAACATTAACCAACGCTCTATGGAAGGAACAAGGGACAGCGAGATTGCAATGGGAGCATACCAACCTCATCATACCTGGGCGAGAAAATATTCCTATCCACTTGGACAAGTAAGAATACTTATTTACATCACTGACTACTAACATTTGCCTTCTTTGCCAAACAACCAATTTCATGTTTCACTTTTGGCACTCGAGTAGAAAAGATGAAGTTGCAAAACATCATTAAATATTTATTAGTCGTGTGAAAATATCTGTTTGAATTTTCCATTAAATTCCAATGTCAACGAGTTAGGAGATAAGTCACTGCCATTTATGTTAATGATTTGGCCTTACAGTTTTCATTGGCGTCTCTTTGATTTTTGTTTTCCTGCATATATGTTTGAATTCGTCAACATGTATTCTAAATCTGACAGAAATTCTTTGGAAACTATACCATGTAGATACATGGATATAGGATGTCACTTTGGGCAGAACATACTGGAACACTTGACGACTGCTTCTTGCAACCTGAGAGCCTTGAATGCGTACGAAAAGTTAGAGCAATTGGTGAAATGAACTGGAAACAATTTGCAGCAAGTGAATTATCAGAGATGAGAGGGCATCTTCTAAAATACCCTGTAGATGTTGATCGAAAGGGGAAAGTCAGATCACTTCCCGGTCAAGAAGAGTTTCCTGATGTAGGAGGGAAAATTGTTGGATCTTTTCTTGCCATGAAGGAGAATCTTACCATTTAATGAATTAATGTAAATTACAAAATAGAGGATGAAATGTTTGTAAATTACAACTAGAAGAAAATAAACAATTTTGAAAAGCTTGATAGTTACAGAAACAACACATACAGTGTATAGTCCAACACCTTTACAGGTTATTCTTTTTACTTTCTTAGGATTAACTCAAATAACCTAGAGGTTATTCTTTTTCCTTTCCCTTGAGAAAGTGTTGTTTTTGTGTATGTATACTTAAAGTGGAATGCTATTTGTCTTGTAATTCATGGTGCTACCAAATATGTGGACATAGTTGCCTTGCCAACTTGGTAAGGTTATGTTCTGTTGCAAGATTTTGGAGATTGTCTTTCATTTTAATTATTTTGCCTCCTCTGTCCGATGTTGATAACTTGTCGCAAGACTTAACAGGAACATAAATTGTTGCAAGACTTGCATATATATTTGAGTGCTCTTGATGCTCATATTGCTCAAAAAGTTTTCAGGAACTGTAGTACAAAGGGCTGCAAGAAAAGAACAGGGTTCTTGTCACCAACCAGCTTCATTTTGTCCCTCAGGTGGATAAAATTATTCTTGATAGTGAAGGCATGATTAAGGAGTAAGGAACATTCAAGTAGTTGTTGAAATGTGCTACGAAAAGATTGCATATACGCGCTCCAATGGTATTCTTTCAAACGAATCTCGTCCAAAGGACAAACACAGGACACATTGATATCAATGCTTTTAATTTGGGGAATATGTTTCTTGGGCAAATTTGGCAACTACTTTCAACAATAATGCTGGCGGTGTTAAAACAGATGCTCTTATACAGAAAACTATCAGACAAGAATTCCATTCCTGGACAATGCTCATCATAGCACATAGATTGAACACAATTATCAACTGCAATCGGATTCTATTGTTAGATCCTAGAAAGGTTCTTGAATATAAATTCACCCAAGGAAATCTAACAAAATGAAAAAGCTGCATTCACAAAATGGTTATAAGTACTGGAAATGTTAAATATTTATGGAGTTTAGTATTTGAAAAGACAGAACATTTCAAATGAATATAATCAAGAGTTTGTTTAGTAAGACTCGAAAAAGAGTTTTTAGCTTTTCAGCTCATATTAATAAAAAAGTCATGTTTAATAACTCGATTTTAACTTTTAACTTGTAGTTTTTTTACTAACTTTTAGTTTTTTTTTCCAAAAGTTATTTGAAGTAGCTTTTGAGTTTGTAGCTTTTAGCTTGTGGTTTTTTCTTCCATTTATACCTTTATTATTTTAATAAAAATATATTATTATCCTTATTAACTAAAATGACTTTTTATATCATTTTGTATCTATCAGCTAATGAAACAAGTAATTTACCAAACACTCATGTTAGCTTACCAGCTACCAGCTAATTTTACCAAACAGAGCCCAAGAGTAAAAAAAAATCGGATGAGACAGTTAGCATCTATAAATTGGGATGCTACACTTTCTTCTTTACATCTATGTTGTTAATCTCAGAAAGCGGCGTGACGTAATCAACCTAAAAATGAGAGCGGCGCGGAAGCGGTAGCAGAGCGGGCGCTATTTCGGCGACGCAGACACTAAAAACTAAATATTTTAATGACCTTACATGCTGAAAATATACTAGCAAATATCCAAAATAAACTCAAATTTCATTAAGTCTTAGCAATAAAATACTTCCAAATACATAATAGCATAAGTCTTAAGCAAAACATTGAAACATACTTCCGAATAATAATAAAATTCAAGAAAACAGACAATTAAGCATCTATAACTTCATCATCTTCCTCCTCTTCATCTTCATCTTCCTCCTCTTCATCTTCATCTCCACACAACCATGGATTATTGGTATCAATATCACCATCCATGACCATAGGATCAATCAAAACATCACTTTCAAACTGCTCTTTCAAAGTTTGATTATACTTTATAACCAAGTCTTGCAACATTTGATTGTACTTCAAATCTACACCATACATACCAATAGCTTCAACCATCATTTTGAAACTTTTTGAATTTGCAACATCGAAATCAATTCCATTCCAATAAAAGAAACGAGCTATCATGGCTGATGATGGTTGAGTATGGTTGAGTAGAATTAGTAGGAGGAGTTGTCATGGTTGTTGGTAGAGGCAGAAATCACATAACAGAAGAAAAAACAAAATAAAAGAAACAGAAATAAAGATATGATGGTACAAAACCAAAATACCTGAAGCAGAGTTGATGATGTGGGATGGAGAAAAGGGAAAGACGGAGATCGATGATGGTGATGGGCGATGGAGAGCTGCGGGGAGATGATGATGTGCGAGGGAGAGCAAACCATGCGAATACAAAATTTAGGGTTTTTTTTAACGTTTTTAACCTAATTTTTTTACTCGACCCGACCCAGTTTGCAAAAACAAGAAAAACGGCACATCCAAACCGCTCCAAGACCCGATTTCGCGGCCGCTCAAGCCGCTTCTTCATTTTGCGTTGTACCGGTACCACCAGAAGCGGCCTGGCAGGAATTTCCGCATCACGCCGCTATAGCGGCCGCTCCAGCCGCTTTTAACAATAGAGCTTTACATCATTACCTTTAAAGTCCAAATATTTAAGACAATAAAGACATCCTTAATTGAATGAAAATTCTTCAGAATTAAAAAAAAAAAGTAGTATTACTTCATGAGACATTTACAAGCTTTGCACGCCGAGTATTTTGATCAACCTCAACTCGAAGACCAAGTGCAGAAATTTCGGGAATATCAACAGATCCCTGCAGCTGCAATTCAGAAACTACCTTTTGATTCTCCTCATTGCCCTCCAACATATTCCTGACAGACCATATGCCCCATTCTCTCAGGAAAGGATTATCTTCATCGGTAACACATTGCTGCAATAGCAATAGAACTCCACTCCTATCCCGCAGTTTGTCTTGTGCATGCTTCCTTCTATACACACAATTGCCAATAAGTGCAACTATGTCTCTCCTAAAGCCCTTGTAAGGGCATGGTTTTGAGGAAGAACTAGCACCATCTTGATTCTCAGATTGTTTGATTCCTTTTCTGATTATTGCTGGAGGTTCAAGGTCCCCGAGCACAATCAAAAGCAACTCAATTAGACCATAAGACAATAACACATCGACAACATCCTCTTCATTACCTCTCGCACTATCATTAGCACAGATGTCCCTCAGTATAGTAAGCGAGTAGCCAAGAACGTCCACTGCGGTAACGCCACTCGGAAGACTAGACTTGCCTCTCACTGCATGCTCAAGAACCCTCGTAGATTTCTTGAATATTCCATAAACAAACAACGCAACATCATTCGAAACAGTAACATCTTCGATTTGCTCATTCAAAAATTCTGATAGGATTTGCAGAAGAAACGCTTGTTCAGATGAAAACTGATCATCTTTTGACTCACTATCTTCACCCTCGTGAATATCCTTTAACCGTAATTTAGAAAACAATACAGGAAGTTGAGATTCTTCAAGACAAATTCTTGAGAGAATCAACTTTATCCAATCCTCACCAAAACTAGCTGGTTTCAATAGAAGAAGTACAAGTCAGTGTTACTGCTTAAAAACCATAAGAAATAAATACGAACATATGTCATGAATCATGATGGCAGCATAGCAAATTATGGAAGCAACTCATAAGTCATGACATCATAGCAACATAGAGAAGCAGTTTGCAACAACAGCAACAGTAAAAAACCACTACACCAATACTAACAAAGGAATTAGGCAAAACCTATGACGCATGGACACCGGAAACACGATATTGACGGTGACATCAGTAATAATTTAAAAAAATATATATAAATTAAACATAATCAGAAGCGTCGGTGTTGGTGCGGACACCGACACAGACACATACACACCTTTTTTTCAAAGGTGTCCGTACTACATATAACAAAACCCACCATGACTCAAAACCAGGCAAACAAAGAACCTGAAATTCTCCAAATTCACCAACACCAACTATCCCGAGCTTCCACCGATTTTCCGGACAAGGACAATTAGAGAGTAACCAACGTTAAGAGATGACTTTGATTTTTTCCATCATTTTTCAAATTATAGCACATATGTATATGTTAACGTATCATTGTGGTGTCCGTGATTCATTTATAAGGAAAGCAAATAAACACATACACAACTAAAATCAAAGTTACAACATAAGAATGATCCTAAACAACAGCATAGATGAAACAAACATATAAAAAAGCACACAAGAACAGACATAAACTAGAAACTAACCAGAAGAAGCAGTTCTCACTAATTCCACCACTACAGGCCAACCACTATCACCATAAAGCTCTGGAAACCATTCTGGATTTCCATCACAACACGTATAAATCACCATACACAACGGATCAAAAACCTCCTTACATCCGAGTCTCGCAAGCGACACAAAACCAACTGGAAACAATTCTTCCCAAACAGCCCTCTGATGCCGTTTCCCAGCCAAACAAACATTTGCCAAAACCTGCAAACCCCACCGGACCAACATCCGATCAGAACCAACCTCCAACCTCAAAATCCTCGAAACAACAATAACAAGTCCATCAAACTCAAGAAACAAATTCTGATTCACAAGTTCGCCAGCACACAAGTTTCTGAGAAGCTTGAAACACAAAGATAAAATATGGTGATCTATAAGAAGGGTTTGTGAGTGTAGTATGGTGAGAAGTGCAGGGAGAATTCTTTTGGAAGCGAGGTGGGTACGTCCAGAATCGGACTTGGCGGTTTGAATGAGAATATCTAGGGAGTTTTGTAAGGTATTGGAGTTGGAAACATCAAAGACTAACTTCAGGGCATCTTCATCATCCATTGCAATGTTGAAAAAGGGAAACAACAATAAACTGCAGATTTTAGGTCAACAAAAACATGGTACAAGCCCCATTTTAGGTCTGATTTTGGTATTTCTTCCTATGTTAGAATCTGCTACACTAAAATTATCGTAAACATCAACAACAAGTTGAGATGGCCGAGTTGGTCTAAGGCGCCAGATTAAGGTTCTGGTCCGAAAGGGCGTGGGTTCAAATCCCACTCTCAACACATAGATCTTTTGAACTCTAAATTTTCCTACCTTTTATAGGGAAGGTGAAGATAGACTTTAGAGCACATTCAGAGGTTTAATGCTCAAAGAAGTGAGACAAAGACAAACCATAATAAACTCCATACAAAAATTAGTCGCCCTCTTTATCTTTGACATGAACGTAGTTTATATGGTATTTCTCTCTCCCACTGAACTTAATACAAACTCGTGTAGACATAGAAAGATGTTTTTAAGTTCGATTTTGCTGAGATATACTTGATGTTATTATAGATTTTATAAAAAAATTAAGAATGAAGACCGGAAAATGTTTGCTCTAATTTCCTAACATATAATATATAATATGCATAAATGGAAATCATTGGATGCGTCACATAATTCAAAAATTTATAAAGTCATTTTATGAATTTTTTTTATTAATAACCATGTATTAAAAAAATATTTCACAAATAATTGGGTTTCGGAAAAAATTACGCAAATAATCATGTTTCAGATGGCTCCACAAAGGAGGAGCCATCTCAATTGGCGCATGCACATAGGGTTTTGCCCTAGGCGCCATCTCACTTGGCGCCTCCCTTGTCTTTTAGCCAAGTGAGATGGCGCATGCTCCTTAAAAATGAGAGGAGGCGCCATCTCACTTGGCGCCTAGGGCAAAACTAGGGTTTTTTACTGTTTTATAAATAATTCGTCTGTTTCTTTGAAATTTCTCACACTTTCTCGCACTGTATTTTTATTTTGTACTCCGTTATTTACGTAATGACGTCGCCTATGATTTTTAGCAGAGATGGTTACGTTATATTCTCGCCACGAAACCTGCGATGAAAATGAAATTCTGGCACATTCACTCCATGGAGCGTCTGAAGCGGGAGTTGATGCGGTGGCTAGATGGAGACATCGCGGAGGGGGAAAAAATTCGAAGGATCCAGCGAAAACGAACAACAACCTCGCATGCGACAGGAAGACCTAATGTGTGGTTGGAGGAAGTCAAAACAGACAGTGATGTAATGCTGATGATGCATGGGTCAGATGAAATTGTGTTAACAGTTGTAATTTCCTAGATTAAATATCGTTAATCATTGTTGTACGCGAAAACCCTAATGTAATTTCCTATATTGAATTTCTTAAATTGTGTTAACAGTTTTATTAACGGAAAACCCATAATGTTTACAACACAAATATTGAAAAAATTTATTGTATTACAAAATTTATGTGGTCGAGCCAGACGCCCGATTCGGACAGTTTTTGCGATTGTGTCCGACCTGACGGCATAAACCACACTTTCTTTCCAACCTGTCAAGATCGTCCATTTCTGTTGTGATGCGCCTGCTTTTGGGACGACACTTCTTGTTCCTTCGCATTTGGTCATTGTGCCAAACTATATCGCCGTTGTATTCGGGCCAATAGTCCGGTTTTGCCACCAAAGGAAAGTTGTTGTTGTAAACAGTGAGCAACGTTTCAGATTTATAAACGTTTGAGAGCAGTTGAAGCGCGTCTTGATGGGTATGAGCACAAGCGAAAATGACATGAGAGCAAGGCATACGAAAAGCTTGAAACCTGCCACAATCGCACCATTGAGAAGGTAAAATGACCCTGTATTCTTGTCTTGCCAGGCCTTCATTGTGGTCGATTGTCTCTTTCACAATGAAGTTGTGGCTATGGCGGTCAAACCGTGTAACCATGTGAGTGTTGGCTTTAGCACTTTCAGCCTTAATGTATTTCATACAGCTTTCACTCCATAGTTGTCCTGATTGCAAGACCGCATACCATATTTCACCTCTTTTGGCAAATAACGCAGCCATCCTAAAATACGTGGATTTCACCAAGGCAGTGATTGGGAGGTTTCGTATGCCCTTGAATACCCCATTCATTGATTCAATAAGATTTGTTGTCATATGCCCCCATCTTTGGCCATTGTCGTATGACCTAGTCCACTTTTCGACCGGTATATTGTCGATCCACGTACCGGCTTCTGGGTTAGACAAACGGATCTCGTTGCGGTAATATTTGAATGTGGGTTGTGTCAGTGCGTATCCCGCATTCATCACCGCTTTCCTCAATGTTTTGTCCTTGACCTCCCTCGAGAAATTCTGGACGATATGCCTGACGCAATAGACATGCGTAGAAGGAGGGTCATGCCAACCATTTGCTGGATTATTATAGGCACTTTCAATGGAGGCATGTCTGTCCGAGATCAAACAGAGATATGGTTGAGGAGCCACGTGTGTACGAAGATTTTTCAGGAAAAAGCTCCAAGCACCACCGGTCTCCCCCTCGACAAGGGCAAACGCAACGGGGAAAATGTTATTGTTGTCATCTTGTGCAACTGCCATCAAAAGCGTGCATTTGTACTTCCCATACAACCAAGTCCCGTCAATTTGTAGAATTGGTTTGCATGATGCAAACCCTGTGATGCATGGTTGAAATGCCCAAAACACGCGACTGAATATTCCGTTGCCATGCAGTAGACTACCATCTTGGGCGTACGCTGGCAATGTTTCCAGAACATAAACACTACCTGGAGAATATGTCTTGAGTGCATTTAGGTAGCGGGGAAGTTCTCGGTATGACTCCTCCCAGTTTCCGTATACCCTTTCAATCGCCTTAGTCTTTGCTAACCACGACTTACGGTAAGACGGAGTGTAGTTAAAAACCGTGGTGATGTGGGAGATGATTATTTTCACCTTCAAAGAAGGGTCGTTGCTGACCAGGGGTAGGATTTCTTGACAGATTAGATCATGGTTGAGTTTTTGGTGGTCTTGTGATTGAGTGGAACTTACACAAGTATGGGTAGTCATGGAACCTATGACCCAGCAGTCACCCCTTAGTCTGTATGATGCGGTCAGCTTGAACATACAGTCAGGGTGGACACACTTGATCTTGTACCTTTTCGGGTTTACACGATCCACCTTATAATCAACCGAGTTGAGCATGTGAAATTTTTTGATGGCCCTTATGCATTCCTCTCTGTTACGAAACTTGTCCTTCTCTTTTAAATTTTCATCCGACTGCATATACGGTTGGAAAAACAAGTCCGTAGAAGGTTCATCTCCGCCCATGTTGAAGTTTGTCATGTGCATAGGTGGTGTGTAGATTTTGTCAGTAGGAATACTTGGGATGCCATCATCGTCAGAATCGTCGTTCACCATTTCATCAAACTCTAACTCGTTATCTTCTTCTTCATGATCAACTGCATCCACCTCATCTTGCTCATTCTCCAAAGGATCAACCTCCTGTGTCACCGGAGGCTCTACCTCCTGTGTCACCGGAGGCTCTTGAAGCAAAACGTACAACTCAATAGAGTCGTTTCCAGAATAGACATGGCTGGAAATCATGTTCTGGAAATCCTCGTCATCTTGAACTTCAACCTTATAAAAAATAACTTGGTTGTTTCCAAAAAAGACTGGACTCTGATAAAATATCTGGGATACCGGGTCTCGTTCAAGTTTGGCCTCCAATCTTTTCTTAAAGTACGAGAAATTTGCTTTCCCGTTTAAGAGAAATCAAACGTTGTCGGTGTTTCTAAACAAAAACCCAACTGTGGGACACATGTATGTCTCACCGTTGAAATGTGCTTTGACAACAAATTATGGTGAAGAGGCCATTGTGTAGAATTATTTTAAGGTTTGAAGGTTGGAATGTTTTAGGTTTATTGATTGTATGAAGGTATGAATGCTGGAATGTTTGAAGGTTTGATGACTGATTCGAAGGTTGGAAAATTTTACAGATTATGTGAATGAATGTTATGTTCAACGTAAGGCAAAAAATTTCAATTAAGTAAGGGATGCAACCCCCCAAGGCTGCCAATAATATTACATGCAATAATGAAACCCCATAGCCTGCCACCTATCCTGGCCCTATTCTGCATGCAACAAAGAAAGGAATCCCAAAGGCTGTCACGTAGCCTGAGCCAATGCTGTAAGAAGTGACACCTCTTATTCGCCAAATGGGGTGGCGACACCATTCATTTTTGTACTCTTTCGCCAAGTCAGATGGCGCCTCCCTTACTGTCCAATCGTGATACATGCATGGGCTTATGAAGCCACCTAGCCTGCCACTTATCCTGGCCCTATTCTGCACACATAAATGTTTTGTGTAAGACTTCACCCATCAACTCCAATGGCCTTGCATGCAACAAAGAAAGGAATCCCAAAGGCTGTCACGTAGCCTGAGCCAATGCTGTAAGAAGTGACACCTCTTATTCGCCAAATGGGGTGGCGACACCATTAATTTTTGTACTCTTTCGCCAAGTCAGATGGCGCCTCCCTTACTGTCCAATCGTGATACATGCATGGGCTGCCACCTAGCCTGCAAGAGTGACACCTTACATTTTTTGTAAATGCATGCATGCATATGTGTAACACCCTAAGCATGCAAATGTGACACTTCGCATGCATGCAAGCACAAGCAACCACTACATCAAACTTATTTGCCTATAAATACATACCTTATGAAACATCTCTCACACCCACACAACTCTCACTCTTTGCTACGAAATATTTCTTAAGTCTATCATACTCTCTATTTCTTCCTAAGTCTTTCATACTCACAAGCATTCTGAACAATGGCTCTTCTAACAATGGGCGATACTCACAGAGGCACAAGGGAAAACATTGCTGCATTTATAAGTCTCTTCTTTGGTTATACATTTTTCATACTTCAAATAACGTGTTGTTCATCTTAATTAATCTTACACTTGTTTAATTATGATCTCAGGATACAAAAAGATTCAGAATCCGTTCGCACAACTACCTGGCTCCGGACCCATTTATCGTCCC